ATGGGTGTGGGTGTGAGTGTGGGTGGGTGTGGGTGTGAGTGTGGGTGGGGTGTGGGTGTAAGTGTGAGTGTGGATGTGGGAATGTGTGTGGGTTTTTCCGTTCACTATATCCACACCCACACCCACACCCACACCCACACCCGCACCCACACCCACACCCGCACCCACACTCACACCTACATCCACACCCACACGCACAGCCGCTTTGTACGCGTTATTTTTCGTTGCTTGTCTGACTGGGTATGGCCATGTTCGATTTTCTCATAGACCGTCTCTTAAGATAAAAACTAGTCAGTGTTTCGGCAGATTACATTTAAAATTTCAGTTTCTTTCAATCGCAATGATTTCGTAGATAGCAAGTGGAGCTCCGGGGCCTACTTCTTCGGAACCAATATCGTCACCCATAATTGTTTCATATTCACTAACAAGTTGTACTTTCCAATTATGCTTCCGAGCAATGGCAGAATACTGTTCGAAATTGGCGATGCTGGGAGCAATAGCAAAGAATGCTCGACCACGATATGGTACAAGAAATTGTTTGACATCACGGAAACATTTGTCAATTGCTTCATGTTCTGGATCAAATATACACCGTTCTAAATCAGTTAACTCACTAACTGGTTTATTGATATGATTAAATGGAAGATTCCAGAAAATTAAATCGAATTTATTTCTGTATTCTGATGGTAGTGAGACAAACACGTCGCTACGTATAGCTATCACACGATCTCTCAATTGATGATTATCAATATTTTCCTGTGCATTTTTTACGGCTACTTGTGATACATCAGTACACGTAACATAGGCAGCACCGTTCAAAGCAGCTAAAATTGCATTGTAACCAGCACCTGTGCCAAGTTCTAACATATGTTCAGGTTTTAATTGTTGAACTAATTTAAGCAATGAACGTGTAAACCAAAGAGCGGCTGAATATACGATTGGATTGAACACATTCGGATAAATAACGAAGCTCTTCCCTTCAACAAGAATAGTAGTTTTTTCTTGAATGCTCCTTGCTTGTGCCAATGCTTTTTCCGCTAAACCGTTCCGAACATAATCGCTTTCTTCCATAATATGTATACTTGTATGCAGAATAAAACAAACAAACCTTAACAATCGTGGATTAGATTTTAATAGATGGTGAGGCTTCGTGAGTCTTGCAAGTAACGGTTGCGATATAGTATAAATATAAATAAAAGAGTGTGGATTTTATAAAATGAAGTAAGAAAAATGTTTCTCTTTTTTTTATGATATAGCTGTTTCAAAATTTCTCTCTTGAGCTTACCTGCACAAGATACCCTTTTTTGATAAGAGTTCCCTGCATTTTTTCGTAATGATTAGATATCAAAAACATTCTACAACTCGAAGAAAAACTAGGATTTCGTCGTGGGTCGGGGCCTTGATGTAGGGATGGCTCTTTGACTTCATTTTTTTCTTCAGAAAGTAGAGTAAGGTAGAGTGAAGATTTACTTTACTTTCCTAAAAAAAAGCAAAGTTAACTGACTCTAGACATCTCTTTCCAAAAATAAAGGAAGGTGTGGGTTTTTTAAGCTACCATGATGTTATAGCATTTCATCTCAGCGACGAGACTCTTTCGATGCCACCCATAAAGAAAAAATTTAGAAGAGCATAACACGATCGGTTTCAACCCTGCTCAAGGTGAGGTGGCTAGGCAACCAGAAGATAAAGAAGCATTTTCAGCTTTGAAATGTCTTCTATACGAACTTCAATCGAAACCATTGCTACACAAACTAGGATGATGTGGGTGTGAATGGGTGTTGGTGTCGGTGTGGGCGCGAGTGTGGGTGTGGATGTGAGTGCGGGTGTGGGTGTGGGCGCGAATGTGGGTGTCGATGTGAGTGCGGACGGGTGTGGGGTGTTGGTATGAGTGTTGATCTACAGTTCTACAACATCCACACTCACACCTGCACCCACACCGACACCCGCCACACCCACACCCTTTCTGTGTTCGATAATTTATTTTTAATTGTGAATATTCGATATTTGTCGTATCCTGCATTTTAGCAATCACAAAGTTCTAGATTGAATTTTGTTTAGTAACTGATAAGCGACATGTATCGAAAACTTTACATAATAATTAATGTTTATTTTTGTGAAGTAATCACGACGAATAATTACTTTATCTTTTCGATATAGAAATTCTATTAGTGAAAAAATTATTTTCTTTCCTATAGTATTAAGTATTGGAAACTTAAATTGAAATCTAGCTTACTTTGGTTTATTGGGTTAGTAAATTTTCTTGGAAAAAAAGATTTTTTTATTCGAAATACGAAAGAATTTTTATCCAATTCGTTTTGATAAAACATATTGAGGCCTTATTAAAAGTTGTAAGCCCTCCCTCTCTGCCGGAAAATTTATTTTCGTCCCAAAACAATCGATCTAGCTAAAACTTTCAGAAAATGTGCGCCCCAAACATAGGACGCTTACAGTAAAATTTCAGCATAAAATATTGAGTTCTTTAAGATTTATTTCTAGGTTAAGGGTCAAAAAGTAGATCTCACAAGGGATCATGTGGGTGTTGGGGTGTGAGTGTGGGTGAGGTGGGTGTTGGTGTGTGTGTGACTGAAATTCATCTTTTATCCTTACACCGACACCCTCATCCTCACACTCAACTAACTAACTAAGTAGCTAACTAACTAAGCGTGTGGGTGTGGGTCATTGAAGAGGATTACACCCACACACCCACCCACCCACTCAAACCCACACCCACACCCACACCCACACCCACACCCATAGCCACACCCTAAGCGCGCCCGATCTTTTTTTTTATCATTGTTGCTATACACTCAATAATAATCATTTTTCTTTGTTTATTTTTATTTGGAATTACTTTTTTTTTTCATAATTGATTATTTCATCAATAAGACTATTATAATAATGCAGTTTATATCTGTAAGCCCTCTCATCACACTATTATATATCTCAATCAATTCATAAATGGTGATATTGCATACGTCTGACACTGATACAAAGGTCCAATCATGTTTGTTACATCAGTTATACCATCGTTATGACCGATTAATACCTATTGTTACTCTTTATTGTTGATTTTTTACGTGCAAATTTAAATTCTAAAAAATAATCAGTGATTACATTATTGGGAATTTTAACAAATTTATATTAGTTTTTTCCAATATTTATGAAAACATTGAAATATTGTATCACAGTCAAACTGATATTCTTCATACTGTTCAACTCTTTTTATTGTTAAATAAAGTTGAAGTTTTTTATGCCCCGTTGCTGAGGTCTGTAATGGGAATGTCTGTAATGTTCTCTTTCTCCGTTACTATGTGTCTGTAATGGGGTGAGAGGGAGCCGCCAAACCTCGAACTTGAAACTTACACTCACTATTTTCTTCGAAAACATATGTGAGTTCCACAAAATGAAAAAAGAATGTCGGAAAATTCACTAGTTCATTACAGATATATTGAAACATCTGTTAAAGTCTATCAACAGTTTGAAAGAAGATCAACATGCTCATCTCTGATTTTCGACCCAGCTGGAGGAGGTAAAATTAATTTTTACAAAAATACTATAATAGTGAAATAGAAGTCTTGCTTAATTTCTGTAGTGATTCAAAGTAGGTACGACTATTATTGCATGAGAAAAGTGAAAAATAACTCATGTCAATCTGACCGGTTTAGACTGACATCGATATTAGTAAGAAGCCTCTACTTGTTGAAATACTGTTATAGACAACTGCATGGTTGCTTACCATGAAGATGCTTGTAGAACTCTTGTGTCTTACTACTACTATAGGCCGTACCAATAAATTTTGCAAAAAATAAAATAGTTATAAATATACTAGATGCTATGAAAAGATGATGTCACGAGTGATAAACGGCTGACTCTGAACTTTATTGAAAAGGAATTATTGCTGTCTTATGGTATCTATAGATAATCATGAACATTTGTGGTTCATATTCAATGTGACCAGGCCATCCACTTAAATAACGGTGTATGATGAGAGCAGATCACTTAATATTGATGGTTTATTAAATCGTTTACAGCTGATACGCACGATACCATTCAAACAGTATTCATATTCAAGGAATTCTACCCGAATCGTTAAGGACAATTTTCTACAGTCATTGTTTCCAATGACTGTGGTGCATTCTCATGTATTGTGTACGATTGCTCTACATGGTTGACATAGATAATTGTTGTTTTCCTTCGTAATTGATTGATATTATGCCTATATACAACTATGCATGGGTGTGTATGTGTAGTTGAGAAGAGTAATTACTCACATTCACATCTACATCTTCTAGGCTATAAGACAGATTTTGAAAAATGTCCTCAAACTCCCACTAAAAACAGAACAAATGTTCAATCAATTTTAAAACTTATTTTCATAGCATATGTCTATAATGTTTTCAAATAGCAATAATACTTTCAAGAACAGTAGAAAATATGCATTGATGATGATGACTTTTCAACAATAATAAAGATAAATTAGAGAAAATTCTTCCTAGGAAATGTTACTCGTTCGATTGTACACTATTCAAAAGAATTTTTGTTCTTATGAATGAAAGTATGTTATTCTGAAAAATACTTGACATGTCAATTTATTTTCCAACGTATAGACTTAAATCGATTGAAATTGAAATAACTAACATCTTTTCGATCGAATGAAATAATAATTTCGGGAAAGCAATGTTTTTCTTTAATACAAAAATCATTATCAAGTTGAATCATCAAAAATGATTATTAAAAAATATTGCAACATTTATAATTAAAAATCTTATATTTACTTAGTATCTACATGGAAAGACATTTTATTTTATTTATATTGAATGTCATAGCTTGCACCATAACTTCCTGAATGCAGTTGTTATTTCCTTGGAAGTTAAAGAATAAATAACAACATCCAATGCAGAATTTGTATATCCTAACCATGAAAATATATTGAATATTAATTCATGATTCTCTTCATCTTTTAAACGCAAATTCCAAACGCCACTCAATAGAAAATAAACATGATATGGTAACCAACAAATAACAAACACACCCATAATAATACCGACGAATTTTCCAGCTTTTCGATTTATTGAAATTCGTTGCCAAGAATTTTTTATTTGTTCATTTTTTCTTTGATATCTATTCACAGATTTTTTGTATTGTCCATTATTCTGATTGAGCTCTTCTATACTTGGATTCTTATATTTACCATGATGTATACGAAGAGTTAATACTTCATCTGGTGGTCTACGCGTCTGCAATAACATTTCTGATTTTTCATTTACATTTTTATTCGAAATGTCTGCTCTTTCTTTACTTTTAGATTTTTTTCCAGAGAACATTTGTCTCAAAGAAACGTTCGTAAAAAATGATTTTTCAGATTGCATCGCATACTGACACTTATAGCCAGAACGAAGTGCGAAAGCTTGTTTTTTAGCTGCTAAATACATTTTAATGTAAACATAAATCATAATGATTAGAGGCAGATAAAATGATGTAATAGATATGAATAATACGTAATATGGATGTGTTGGAACGTTGCATTCGTATAATGTTAATACTGGTTTAATTATTGTCTCATTTAATGTATTTAATCGTTCTAAATTTGACATAACAATAAAATTTAGTGATATAGTCTAGATAAAAACATAACATTCTACATTTATTTTCTCTTCAATATATTGTAGTAACGAATTCTCATAGATACGTGATGTTTGTTAAAAGAAGCAAAACAAGGTTTGCAACAAAAGTGTGAAAATCTTCGATTCAAAACGTTTACTAAAATCTTATGAATAAGCTGCACTTACTCGATTCTTTTTGCATTTAGATTTTGATTTTTCAGCGAACTTTCTTATAGTGTCCTGCAACTGGATCGTATGCAAAAATATGGCATATCCAGTATTCGATCGGTATTTGGTCGAACGCGGACGTTTCAAACTATTTTACCTTTTCCAAAGTGCTATTTTTGTAGCAGCATAGAAGTGAGAATCGGTTCGATCAGTATCGGACAATTAATTGCATTCAAGAACAGATCACAGAAGTGAAAATCAATTTTGATTTTCTTAACGAAATTCGTTTCGAATGAAAAC